GGTGGGGAGGGGGGGGGGGTCACTGATTTTGTACATAAATTTTAAGAGGGGGGTTGTCATTCACATTGTACAAGCTTCTCCATAAAAATCATCATCAAACACACACACACCCAGCACCCAGCCCGGCGTTAAACAAACACACACATACGAGTCTATTTTTATATTATATAGTATTTCATCTTCTGTATGCTTCTCAATTCGGACGAAGCTCAAATGCACACTGTCTTTTAGACCCGTCTCTGTTGGCAATATTCAAGCTATTATATCGCATGGGACAAACATTATCTGGACATATTGCTACCACATTAGGAACAGAAGCATATTTGACGTGGTGTGCGAGTGAACGATTGCACCACCGCATGTTACATGTGATATATAGATAACGTACATACCTTCATTTATCAGTGTACTCTGGTTCATTGTATATCATCGTATTCCAGTTGCGTACATCGATGGTCATAACGTCACTCACTGGATTGTCTGGTGCAGATTTGAGTATTTACTAGTGTGCGTAAAAAGGTTTCTTTTTTAAAAAGGAAAATCTTTGGTATTACCTCCGTAGTGCAGCAGTTTATTGTATAGCTCTGCACATCAAGAATGATGAGTGCGTGCGTGAGTGAGTGAGTGAGTGAGTGAGTGTCTGTTTAACGTCACAATCAGATACAACGCGTCAAAACCGTTAAACAGCTTTAAAAATGTATCCAGTGCCACTGTCACAACCGGGGCTTTTCCAATTTACAGCATGGCATTTTTATCGTAAATCAGTTATATGATCAACGACATGAGGAACAAGTTACTAAACTGGTGTATTTTGCCAATGTAAGATAAATTTGCTTCATACTTCTTTTATGAAACGAGGAAGCCTTTGTAAACCCTTTGTTCATATTTATGATAAATGCCTTCGTGTCAGTACGTAATTAATGAGCTGAAATAAATAAACTATTATATGCAAAGTCAAGTCTACAAAATCTTTAAAAAAACGTCTTTGATCCCCCCCCTGATTCTGATTTGCTTTTATAAATGAAGACACAGACAGTTAAGCCACCTGATCTTACGTATATCAAAAGTTGAAACCTGTTTCGTAGCCATTTAAGCGAAAAGTGAGGGACCCTTACCCTCCGTCACTTTCATTGCGTGGCAACTCATTCGTCTGTTGATCACAACTCACTCACTCACTCACTCATTCACTCACTCACTCACACTCTATTTAAAACTTAGCACTGCCTTCAGGGTTACCATGACTTGTAGTTTCAGTACAACTTCGTTCATTTGTCGGGATTTGGTATGTCAGTTTCTTATTTCAAACTGTCAATCACGAGATGAATGCGTCATATTGCATTGCTCATATTCTGTCATTTCGCTGACATTTACAGACCAGGGATAATGCTCAAATACGTTCAATATGATATGTTCAAACTACACGACTTCATGTCGACTTCCTGTATATACAGGACACGCCCTGCACCAACACTGGCGGATGTGACATAATGCCGGTGTCACGCCGACCAAGTGAACTGTTAAGGTTTAAGTATGACGCACTGGACATTTCGAAACTGTATTACGCATACGGAAGTCACGTAAACACCGGAACCGTTTCTGGTTTCCGGCCAAATATCCTGAGTCTTGCTCAAGTACTAGTTCCGTATATAACAGTGTTCAACAGATATTAAATAGTCTCAATAAACAAATCCTCCCATCAACACCACTCGAAATTAATTTAGAGAGGTATGTTTTATGTACTGTGGCACTGGTGTTAGATTTGCAACTGGTTACTGGGGGCGGTAGGACTACTAGTGAGTGAGTGAGTTTAGTTTTACGCCGCACTCAGCAATATTCCAGCTATATGGCGGCGGTCTGTAAATAATCGAGCCCGACCAGACAATCAAGTGATCAACAGCATGAGCACCGATCTGTTCAATTGGGAACCGATGACAAGTCAGCGAGCCTGGCCACTCGATCCCGTTAGTCTCTTCATACGACAAGCATGGGTTGCTGAAGATCAATATTCTAACCCGGACCTTCTCGGGTCAGTAGGACAACTAAATAGACGGCGCTACCGCTCGGTTTTATTGCAATCAGTACACAGTTTTGATGTTTGGTGGTATTACCAACATATACAAGGTGTGCTAGATAGAATAGAATGAGGCACATCCACTCAGGGCTCCAGCTGATGATGGCTTGTATCACGCAAACTTCGAATATCTGCAGACAACCGTGCGGCGTTAAACAATACTCACTTCAGCTGCACGGTAGACTGGTATTTTTAGTGTTTTGGATTTTGGTTATCAAAGTTTCACGTTTTTATCTATACGGGAATACTTCTAAATAGACTTTCCCCACATGGGTACAATGTGTGAAGTCCATTTCTGGTGGCCACCGCCGTGATATTGCTGGAATATTGCTAAAAGCGGTGTAAAACCATACTCACTCACTAACTCTAAACTAAACGCCTACATACTCTTTATTCTTACAATTTGAATCATGGTGATTTGGGGGACCTAAATTTCCGCGCGCTCAACGGAGCAATACAATGCATGCGCAAGACTAAAGTCTTCCTGGCAACCTTACCCTACTTGATGTGGATCACTGCACTCCATCTGTAGTCCAGCCAGTAATACCACAGTGAGAAGTTATTGATGCAGATAGCAGACATACTCGCTTACCTTACATGACCTTGCCATGACCTCTCTTCACCACTGGATGACCTTCAGTCACGTGTATCAATCAAATGTCGTTACAGTCGCGATGTATGGCCATCACTTTTCGACATGATATTAAAGTGTCAATAACTAACACGTAGAATTCTCTGTATGGCCAACAAAAGGATGAGAGGTTTTACAGAGATCAATAGTTTGATCTGGTAAAATCACAATTATATCTATTATCTATATAACATATGACGTGGTTATGTGGAGTGGAATCAAGTGGAATTGGGTGAGGTGAGGTGAGGTGAGGAATCAAGTGGGGTGAGGTGAGGTGAGGTGAGGAATCAAGTGGGGTGAGGTGAGTTTAGGAATCTAGTGAGGTGAGGTGAGGTGAGGAATCAAGTGAGGTGAGGTGAGGAAACAAGCGGGGTGAGGTGAGGTGAGGAACCAAGTGGGGTGAGGTGAGGTGAGGAATCAAGTGGGGTGAGGTGAGGTTAGGAATCTAGTGAGGTGAGGTTAGGAATCAAGTGGGGTGAGGTGAGGTGAGGTGAGGAATCAAGTGGGGTGAGGTGAGGTTAGGAATCAAGTGGGGTGAGGTGAGGTTAGGAATCTAGTGAGGTGAGGTGAGGTTAGGAATCAAGTGGGATGAGGTGAGGTGAGGTGAGGAATCAAGTGGGGTGAGGTGAGGTTAGGAATCTAGTGGGGTGAGGAATCAAGTGGGGTGAGATGAGGTTAGGAATCAAGTGGGGTGAGGTGAGGTTAGGAATCTAGTGAGGTGAGGTGAGGTGTAATGGTGTTTCAGATTAAGGTTTTGGCTCTGTTAGTTGTTTAACGCCGCACTCAGCAATATTCCAGCTATATGGCGGCGGTCTGTAAATAATCGAATCTGAACCAGACAATCCAGTGATCAACAACATGAGCATCGATCAACGCAATACGGTCACTCGTGTAAACCAACCACCCGATCCCGCCATTCGCCTCTTAGGACAAGCATGAGTTGTATACAGAAATGTATCCTAAACCAAATTAATATACAGAAACGTACCCTGTACCCTAAACCGAGTCACTATTCCTCAACCAGAGACCGACACCGTCTGTAGTTTTTCCCATTCAGCCGATTGCGAGTGGTATTGTGCATCGCGAAATATTTGTTACTGAGTGAGCTCGTTTTTTATATAACACAATCAAATGCATATATATAATACAAGACTATGCCAGTTCCGATCAAGAAAACGGCACAATGGAGAATGGAATCGTCATAGGGTACGTTTCTGTATTCTGATTTTGTCTATTTTGTCGTGAGTGTTTGACATGTGTACATAAATGTACCTGGGGTACATAGAGATTATTAACCTCGTGTGTTTCCGTATCAGTAATATCATATACAGTATATATTAGGAATAAATATTGTATTATGCGAACCTTTGCGAGCCAAATGCATAATTTTTATTCCTAATATATGATATTAATGAAACGAAAACACACTCCGTTAATGATCTCTTTATCATATAATGTCATTCTTAAAATTACTCTAAAAAAGAAGCAATTCGTACGTGAATTTATATGAAGAGAATCGAACATTCGCGTAAGAATACTTACACCAATGTGAAGGTCGTTCATATGGCAGCATATGGTTGTGACTAGTCGCTAATACAGTGCAAACATAACTCATGCTTAAAATAGGATTTTTCTGTCTAAAAAGAACAACAAAATCAGGCAGTATTTTCCTGGCAGTGTTTATATTTTCATTGCGGGTAATCTCCTCATCAATACCTGACGGAATCGATTCGTCGTCTGTATTGTGATCGATAGATCGAAATCCTTGGCTGGTACCTTTCTTAGACGATTGCCTTTCAGTCGTGCCTCATTATGCTTACCTTCAATTTGAACGAAGAACTCAGTTTCATGTTTTCAAAGTCAATTACTGCAGTAACGACTCCAGAACCTCTGTCATCAATTCTTACAGAATCACCAATTTTGAGAATGGGGACAGCCATGTTTGTTTACAAACAATGTAAACTCGCGACGACGGCATCAAAGAAATGTTAAACGTTTTAGGATTCGTGGCGTGTATGGAGTTTTGTGAAAGTAGTTCGTGGATTGACGTAATTTGCATAGTTATCAGATTTGGATACCAAGTTTATCAGATTGTTTTATTGCACCGATAACACCCTCCATTAGATGATAAACATCTGTACCACCTGTGCCGACAAGAACCCGTTGTTTCAAATCCTGGCACCGTCTATGACCAATGTTGCTGCTGAACCGTCTTCGTATGATAGAACCTACATCATGGGAACGTAAACCATCATTATAAAACTGTTCAACTGTTGGTGTCATTTTCAGTTACAGACTTTCCAACTATGAAGATAATCCCCTCTATGCTTTTGTGGAGTTACGTCTCTCTGACGTCATCAAAACACGTGACTCCATCTCTGCCAGAATACACACCTCACCACGCATTCCACGCAGGACCAGTCCTTGGTTACCATGGAAACAACCACGACCTAGCCTCCTATTTGCACGGACGGCCTTCAGGAGGTCGAGCCATGGGAAAGGTCAGAGGTGAGTTTGAAGGTCGACGTTACCTCGCTAACAATAGAAACATAGGGCTATGTACCTGGTCCATAGTCTTGAGTATATCGACAATTATATTCTATTTATGTTTATCAGAAAAGAGTAAAAGGTAAAACTTGGCTATTGATGAAATACGATCGGAACTGACGGAACAATTAATAGAGACATATTTCGGGGATAATGTACACAACAGTTATGCTTCTAAAGCCCACGTGTTTAGAAGAGATGTGAAAAATGCATACCAATTATTTAAAGGTTTGGGGTCATAGCAGGCTAAAATATCAAAATAGACAAAATCAACTGCTCACGGTTTAAATCCCAAATTCACGTTGATTTGTTTTTTCTGCATCATACTCGTGAGTTTCTATTACGTAGTAAGAGCCTTACATCACTTCGGGCTCATGAAATACTGAAATACTGCCAGAGGCGGCATTATAAAAAACTGACAGAACAGTGGATACGAGTTGAAGATGAAAATGACAATGCAGGAACGGCAGCAGCAACAGCAGGAGCAACAGGTCCGATAACGCAGACGTGACGACAGTGTTTGATTATCTGAACTTTGGGATCCTTTGCATGGAGAAGAACACCTCAAGAAGGGGCAAGAATTAGGCCAGAAACGTCATGAGAACCAAGCAAAGAAGTTGTTATCCATATGTTTGTCTTGCATTACTTTTGCATGGTGAAACGTGTTTGGATTAAGAATACATTCCTTATTATCTCTGCCCTTGTTGTTTCAAGAAGTATTTTACAAAACCTTTCCATCGAAACTTTCGTAATTGGAAAAACTACATTTTCTTTAAAAGGTCTATAGAAAGCAGGTCCACCGCAACATATTGGTGTCGTATATGGCCATTAAATGTATCGCGTGGACACAGTTGATAACATGTCATCGCACACTTTGAACGTTGTTCATGTAATCAAGCACTTGTTTGTCTATTCCAGACTGGGTTATTTACAAACAGTCTTCATATAGCTGAAATATCGATAATTGTTTCGTTATAATATACCAAAAACAAACAAAAAATAACCTAACAATCATAATGTGGTTATTTATGAAAACTCATATAAATCGTTATTGGAACTTGCAAGTCAAAACATTGATTACACAACAGTATCGTTTCACCGCTGACTGGGCTCCGTCCTATTGCGCAACTTAGTACAATGACCAGTCCAGAATTTTGAGACCAACACATTCAACTGGAGATATAAATATTAATCAGTATGATTTGATACATCTAATCACGTGTATATTGCAACGCTTCGCTCCTTCTAATCCTTGCAAACCCATCGTACCACGTGCTCTGTCGTACAACGTGCTCTGTCGTGCAGCGCGCTCTGACAAACGGAAATCGTGAAAATCTCAAAACGAGGCTCGTATTAGACTCACCCATAACAGATAATGAAATGTCATAAGCGTTATTGCATTTGAAAAATGGAAAATCAGCTTGTCTTGAACCCGTGGTGGTGGAAATGCTTAAAGGTTCACAGTTTGTTATCATGCCCAAGTGTTATAATAAATTGTTTGAAAATGGTATTTTCCCCCATTGTTGGGCGCGATCAATTATTGTTCCCTTACATAAGAAAGGTGATGTCACCAATCCAGATAATTATAGAGGAATTTCCCTTATGAGTATTTTAGGCAAAGTCTTTACATCTGTTCTAAATAACAGACTCACTAAATGGGCAAGTATGACAGATAAAATTCCCGAATCACAAGCAGGTCTTAGAAAGAAATATTCAACTTCTGATCATATCTTTACACTATTTGCATTAGCCCAGAAATGTCTATCCCGTCGTAAGCGTAAACTATATGTAGCTTTTGTTGATTTCCGTAAAGCATTTGATTCTGTCAATCGTTCTAAATTGTGGTACTCTTTAAGTAATGCTGGCCTGAAAAGTAGAATGTATTCGACTTTAAAAGCAATGTATACTAATGTGAAAGCTTGTGTACGTTGTGGTGATGATAAGATTGATTTTTTCGACTGCCCCGTTGGCTTAAGACAAGGATGTGTTGTGAGTCCAACTCTATTTTCCCTGTTTATCAACAAATTGCACTACGATATTATCACAAATAGTAAGTATGGCATCCAAATGTTTCCAGATCTCTTTAAACTCTTTTTTCTTTTATTTGCTGATGACGTAATTCTTTTATCAGGATCTGTAGTTGGACTACAAACCCAGTTGAATATTATGGAACGATATACTAAAACATGGATTTATCCGTTGATCTAGATAAAACTAATATTGTTATATTCAGAAAAGGTGGCCGGATATCTTCTAAAGAAAGGTGGTCCTTTAATGACCAGCCAGTAATTGTCTCAGATCATTACACTTATCTTGGTATTAAGTTTACATCTGCTATGAACTGGAAAACATCTGTTACTGATTTATCATTGAAAGCTAAGAAAGCATTGATAAGTCTTTTATCTGCCTTGTGTAAAAATTGGTGTGTTGACGCCCAGTATTTACTTTAAACTATTTGATTGTCAAATTCAACCTATTCTTTTGTATGGATCCGAGATCTTGGGATTCCAGCGATATGAATGCATAGAAAAATTACATCGGATGGCCTGTAAGAAATTTTTAAATGTTGAACCATCTACAACGAATTGTATGGTGTACGGTGAATGTGGGAGGTATCCCCTGTATATAAATGCTCATATTCGATGTATAAAGTTCTGGTTTAAGATATTGTGTATGCAAGAACATAGATTACCCAAAAAGGCTTATAACATGCTTGTTCATTTGGACAACATTGGTAAAGTGACGTGGGCATCTTATGTAAGAAATATTCTGTTTGCACATGGTTATGGTTTTGTATGGTTAAGTCAGTCAGTTGGTGATGCAAGTTTGTTTTTAACTCAGTTTCGTGAAAGAAGTCTTAATATGTTTAATTAGGAATGGCATTCAGTAATAGATAATTTTTGACGGTATGACTCTTATAGAATATACAAATCACTACTCCAGCTAGAGAAATATCTGTCGTTTTTAACATCAAGAAATTAAGATATCCATTTATACGTTTTAGGTTAGGTTTGATCAACATAATGGTAAACGAAGGAAGACGTTTTTCATATTGAACGATGCAAGAGGATGTGCCCTCTGTGTAATATAGATGTGGAAAATTAAATCCATTTTTTACTTGTATGTCCTTTGTATAAAGATTTGCGTACGAAATATATAGCTGAATATTATCTATGTAAGCCACCTTCATTAGCTTTTAAACTTCTTCTTTCATCAAGTGACCAGCATGTAAGAATAAAGCTGCCATACTATATCAATTATGCTCTTATTAAACGTAACACTCTGATAAAACGTTTTGTAGACCCATCGTATTTCACTACTTGTACATAATTTACTGACTGTATCATGATTTGCTGTTTAGATCACTAATTACTACTTATTGCACCATATGTATAATGTATATAACTCCAATGTATATGGGCCGGATGCCTTTTGTACAATAAACATCTTTGACTTTGATAGAAAAGTTTGGCGGTCTGGTACGGACTTGATATGATATCAATCACATTGTATGTTACAAAAATACACTTAATTAGCGTAAAGAACACATAACAACAGGTGTAACCAGTTAGCCACATGAATTATGAATCATTGTACGACCTCTTCAAACAGGGGCAGTCTGTGACGTCTTAGTTAAAGACATGCTGCCTAAACCGCGACATAAAATACAGAAATACGATTTTATTAAACTTTAACATTGAAATTAATTTGCAAATACCATTTTGTTATGGAACAAGGAATTGGAATTCAGTGTAACCAGAGTTGTTTATAGTGTCTCTTTTCACTTTCACACGAGGAAATTCGGATCGGCTGAAAAGTAGGTCATTGTCTGAATTGGTTAATGAGACTCATGTTTCGGTTTGTTTGCTAGTTACGCTAGTTTATGTGACCTTCCCAATACACAACACAAACTTATGTAAATAATATATGTAAATGTTTTTCGATAGCAATGTCTTTTTGAAATCAGCTATCAAAACCAACGGTGTTCCGATAGATGACTTGTGTGTGGTGTGCGGCGAAATCATTGGTCGTCACACCTCCATTGACCATAAGGGTATTCCTGGCTACAGGAGGCGTCTACACAGAACAGATGTCATCGTTCCCTTCCGGTGTTGCTTGTTGCTCATCACATCGACCACTGGTTTGTATGGTCCAGGCGCGATTAGGTACAGGCCACCTCTACAGAACCTGGATATTTCTGACAGCCGCGTTAACAAACCAATACCAAGTTTGCACTTTCTCCGATTTCTCGGTATGTTTAATCCACTCAAAGCATTCCCTCTTGTGTTTCAGTTCGACGGCAGGCATCTCGAACAATGGCCGCAAAGCAAGGTACTGAGTGAGTGAGTGAGTGAATGTGTGAGGTTTAAATCCGCTTGGAACAGTATCTCTGTTCTATCACTAGCAGCTTCATGCGGGAGAAGGAGATTGTGTTGTATGGAGTAGATGCTTACCATTCTTGTATAACCAGCGAGCACAGGGATAGATCTAACAAGACCAGGAAGGTAGTCAGGCTGAACGGAGATTCGAACCTACGATCATGTATTTCTTGCACAGCGTACCTCTGCTCATCCTCAGACGACTGGGACACCGTGGTCCCAGATAATGAGGAAGATATACCCAGCAGGTTTAAAGTTTTGCAGCAGTATTGGATATTCCTACGAACAAATACTCCCTGAATTCCTCTATTGGTTGTTTAACACGACACTCACAGTTGTATTCCAGCTGTATGAGGGCGGTCTGCAAATAATCTTGATTGACCAGACCCATGAAGATCCGGGTTAGAATTGGTCTTCAGCAACCCATGCTTGTCTACCGTGAAGATCGGGGTTAAAATTGGTCTTCAGCAACCCATGCTTGTCTACCGTGAAGATCCAGGTTAGAATTGGTCTTCAGCAACCCATGCTTGTCGGAAAAGGCGACCAATGGGATGGGTTGGTCAGACTCGGTATTTGGTTGACATATGTCATCGGTGCCCAGTTGCGTAGATCGATCACTGGATTCTCTGGTCCAGACTCGTTTATTTACAGCCCGCCGCCTGAAAGTTGGAATATTGCTGATTGCAGCGTTAGACAAGAGCCAAACCAAACAAAAAATCTAATAATTGAGACATGATTATCAACCAAGTCAAAGTGTTTGATGCTTCAAGATCAATTCCAACTCGGATCTTCAAGAGCCCACTTACTTTGTTATTATTTCTGATATTACTAGTCCAGTATATGAATACATCCACAGAGGTCAGTTATTATAACCATGGTTTCAGCGCGATACATGCAGATCCCACTGTATCGACTCGGGCTACCCGGTGGTCGTTCCTCCGTCAGCGTCAACACTCCTCTACCTTACCATCGCAACTACTTCAAGAGTTTCCAAGGTAATCATTTCCATAGCAATCAACAGGCATTCAGACACAAAGTATCGGTATCATGAAACCCATCAAACGGAATATCAGCACCTGTTATAATTGTCTGAAGGAGACATAAATAAATCGGAACGTAACTTCCACTGTAAAACTTCCAGAAAAACAAACTTCCCGATAAAGAAGTTTCCGGTTTTTTATCCTTTACAATAAGCATGTAGACTCAGCAGAGCTGTGGTCACCTGGGAGGGAGGGGTATGGGTTTCTTGCCGTTAAGGGTCCGGTTTAGAGAGGTTCCACTGTATCTGATTGTACTAAATGTCTTCAGGCTGGCAGAGTCTTACATGTTTGGGTATGGGGTGGATATGTTTATGGTTTTATAAGTATTATGTTTTTATCAGTATTAGGTGGTCGCGCCAAACACCCGGGTTCGAACCTCCTCAAATGTTCCAGTGTGTGAAGCTTATTGTTGACCTTCGTAGAGATATACCTGGAATATCACCTGAAGCGACGTAACCTTACTGACAGTTCTCACTCACTCACTCACTCACTCAACCCACACACAAACCCACCCACCCTCTCACTCACTCACTCACTCACTCACTCACTCACTCACCCACACCCACTCACTCACCCATTCAACTGATCGGAAAAGGACAGGCATACAAGCGAGTGGAGTTTTACAGATATGCAGGTCACAGTGAAATCATCTATTGTGGGTTGTGTACCATCGTTCTCTGATTGTCTGACTTCCATCATTGTCTGACTTCCATCATTGTCTAGTCTGACTTCATCATGGACAGACCGACGTCATATGCAAATGACATCGTGAGAATATCTTGGGATACAATGGCATACATCGCCCTAGACAGCGAACGTGACCACCAATCCCGTTAGTTGCCGCTTACGTCGAGCACAGGCTGCTGAAGATCAATCCAAACCCGGATCTTCACGGGTTCCCAACATATCAGCAACAACAGTGGCTGCTGCCTGCTCTGATGATTGCGGGTGCTCTCTGTTGACTGTGAGAGTACAACTGCATGTGCAAAACGTGGTGAAACGCGTACTTTCTAAGGTTTACTACATTGGTCATGTGGATAATGTGTCCGAACTGTGATGAGGAAATACGTGGTTCGAATCTCAGCAAGAGATGTGGCAATACAATGGGTCGACCTTCTTTGAATGGCATTTTTAGAAGTTGGAGAGCCAGATAAGGATAAACTTTATAAGTGAACGACTTCTTTAGTCAGGTGATGGACGTTTGTCTACATCACCTGAATAAACAAGTTGTTCATCCATTTCGTTTGTCCTTATCTGGCTCGACCTTGTTCATGTACTGACAATATAGATAATGTAACAGAGTATATTTATAGTAAAGTTGTTTCCCTAAAACTACATACAAATCGGCTTTATTAAACTTTCAGCATCACCGTTTTGGATCAGCCCAAACCCAACAGCGATCAACCCGGTGGCGCCACCAAACAGGGCTCGGCTTATATCACCTCTGGCCAGCAAACATATTGAGTCTCCGCCAATCATATCGCCTATAGCAAACGCAATTGACAAGGAGCTACCAGTGATGACGAAACAAAGCAGTACATGGGTGTGGCCTAACAGAGCCGTCACCGGCCCATTGAGAAGTCTGACAATAAAAGTGAATAAACTGTAGATAAACTTGTCTTACTGTGTCCTTTGAGGAAAGTCGATCTTGATTAAATTCGACATCGTTTCCGGTTAATCACTGCTGTGATGATCTGTTTTGTTGGCGATATGAGGGGGTTTGGGTTCAAAGACTTGAAAAGCATTTAGAGTGAGTAATCGAACCCGGGTCTTCAGCGTGACGAGCGAACGCTTTAACCACAAGGCCACCCCACCTCCAGGGAGCATTTAGATGTTCTAGGCACATGTGTGATCTCTGTTTTAGCTGGGAGTGGGGAACACACACAAGGTATTTCAGACGTTTCATTTCTTATGGGAATATAAACGTTTATCTGTTGTAGGAATATAAACGTTTATCTGTTGTAGGAATAGAAACGTTTATCTGTTGTAGGAATAGAAACGTTAATCTGTTGTAGAAATAGATAAGTTTATCTGTTGTAGGAATAGAAACATTTATCTGTTGTAGGAACAGATACGTTTATCTGTTGTAGGAATAGAAACGTTTATCTGTTGTAGGAATATAAACGTATATCTGTTGTAAGCATATAAACGTTTATCTGTTGTAAGCATATAAACGTTTATCTGTTGTAGGAATAGAAACGTTTATCTGTTTTAGAAATAGATACGTTTATCTGTTGTGGGAATATAAACGTTTATCTGTTGAAGGAATAGATACGTTTATCTGTTGTAGGAATAGAAACGTTTATCTGTTGTAGAAATAGAAACGTTTACCTGTTGAAGGAATATAAACGTTTATCTGTTGTAGGAATAGATACGTTTATCTGTTGTAGGAATAGAAACGTTTATCTGTTGTAGGAATAGATACGTTTATCTGTTGTAGGAATAGAAACGTTTATCTGTTGTAGAAATAGAAACGTTTATCTGTTGTAGGAATAGAAACGTTTATCTGTTGTAGGAACAGAAACGTTTATCTGTTGTAGGAATAGAAACGTTTATCTGTTGTAGGAATAGATACGTTTATCTGTTGTAGGAATAGAAACGTTTATCTGTTGTAGGAATAGAAACGTTTATCTGTTGAAGGAATATAAACGTTTATCTGTTGTAGGAATAGAAACGTTTATCTGTTGTAGGAATATAAACGTTTATCTGTTGTAAGCATATAAACGTTTATCTGTTGTAAGCATATAAACGTTTATCTGTTGTAGGAATATAAACGTTTATCTGTTGTAGGAATAGAAACGTTTATCTGTTGTAGGAATAGAAACGTTTATCTGTTGTAGGAATAGAAACGTTTAATCTGTTGTAGAATATAAACGTTTATCTGTTGTAGGAATAGAAACGTTTATCTGTTGTAGGAACAGAAACGTTTATCTGTTGTAGGAATATAAACGTTTATCTGTTGTAGGAATATAAACGTTTATCTGTTGTAAGAATATAAACGTTTATCTGTTGTAGCATATAAACGTTTATCTGTTGTAGGAATAGAAACGTTTATCTGTTTTAGAAATAGAAACGTTTATCTGTTGTAGGAATATAAACGTTTATCTGTTGAAGGAATAGAAACGTTTATCTGTTGTAGGAATAGAAACGTTTATCTGTTGTAGAAATAGAAACGTTTATCTGTTGAAGGAATATAAACGTTTATCTGTTGTAGGAATAGAAACGTTTATCTGTTGTAGGAATAGAAACGTTTATCTGTTGTAGGAATAGATACGTTTATCTTGTAGAATAGAAACGTTTATCTGTTGTAGAAATAGAAACGTTTATCTGTTGTAGGAATAGAAACGTTTATCTGTTGTAGGAATAGAAACGTTTATCTGTTGTAGGAATAGAAACGTTTATCTGTTGTAGGAATAGAAACGTTTATCTGTTGTAGGAATAGAAACGTTTATCTGTTGTAGGAATAGAAACGTTTATCTGTTGTAGGAATAGATAAACGTTTATCTGTTGTAGGAATAGAAACGTTTATCTGTTGTAGGAATATAAACGTTTATCTGTTGTAAGAATATAAACGTTTATCTGTTAATAGGAATATAAACGTTTATCTGTTGTAGGAATATAAACGTTTATCTGTTGTAGGAATAGAAACGTTTATCTGTTGTAGGAATAGAAACGTTTATCTGTTGTAGGAATAGAAATGTTTTTCTGTTGAAGGAATATAAACGTTTATCTGCTGTAGGAATAGAAACGTTTATCTGTTGTAGGAAAAGAAACGTTTATCTGTTGAAGGAATATAAACGTTTATCTGTTGTAGGAATAGAAACGTTTATCTGTTGAAGGAATATAAACGTTTATCTGTTGTAAGCATATAAACGTTTATCTGTTGTAGGAATAGAAACGTTTATCTTTTGTAGAAATAGATACGTTTATTTGTTGTAGGAATAGAAACGTTTATCTGTTGTAGGAATAGAAACGTTTATCTGTTGTAGGAATAGAAACGTTTATCTGTTGTAGGAATAGATACGTTTATCTGTTGTAGGAATAGAAACTTTTATCTGTTGTAGGAATAGAAACGTTTATCTGTTGTAGGAATAGATACGTTTATCTGTTGTAGGAATATAAACGTTTATCTGTTGAAGGAATAGAAACGTTTATCTGTTGAAGGAATATAAACGTTTATCTGTTGAAGGAATAGATACGTTTATCTGTTGTAGGAATAGAAACGTTTATCTGTTATATGAAAAGAAACGTTTATCTGTTGTAGGAATATAAACGTTTATCTGTTGTAGGAATAGAAACGTTTCATCCGTTATGGGAACAGATACGTTTCATCTGACATGGGAATAGATGCATTTCATCCGTTTTGGGAATATATGCGTTTCATCTGACATGGGAATAGATACTTTTCATCTGACATGGGAATAGATATTTTTCATCTGTTATGGGAATAGATGCGTTTCATCTGAGATGGGAATAGATGCGTTTCATCCGTTATGGGAATATATGCGTTTCATCTGACATGGGAATAGATACTTTTCATCTGACATGGGAATAGATACTTTTCATCTGTTATGGGAATAGATGCGTTTCATCTGACATGGGAATAGATGCGTTTCATCTGACATGGGAATAGATGCATTTCATCCGTTATGGGAATATATACGTTTCATCTGACATGGGAATACATACTTTTCATCTGACATGGGAATAGATATTTTTCATCTGTTATGGGAATAGATGCGTTTCATCTGATATGGAAATAGATAAGTTTCATTGTTAAAGGAATAGATACATTCATACATGCCAGTACCTCTAAAGCTTTCAACATGTTCTAGACGACGTATTACCTATTCTGATCACAAATTCTACATTAGAGCAGCAGTGGATTGTTGGTATGTTGCTGTGAGGAATGTAATGAAGACTACAAATGACTCAGTGAACTTCCACTCTTCCTTCCCATGTACACCGAGGATCTGTACATCCACGCAAAATATTTCGTGTGTTGGGGCGTTAAGGCTTCGATCAGGAACAGTACGATCTCTTGCAGCCATTTTTCAAAGTTGCTCTCCCTTTGCCGAAACCGCTTTATCGGTGGTTCAAGTGAGGTTACTCTCTCTCACACACGAAATCGTACATATATATGCTAATGTGGGCCAACATTCGAAACTAACAACATTCGAAATGTTGTCAACATGAAATCACAGATATCTGCCGAAATAAATATTCATAAATACACTCCAAGGGTCATTTAAAGAAAACAAAATGCATGAAATAGTTACTACATCGTAAACAAACAGCAAACGACACGGGTACTTGTGCCTCGGAAGTTGGCCGTGCAGTCATCAGTATTCATGAGTGTATTCCTTTTACGGAACGGTTCACACGATATCCATGACGCCATTGGTTGAGATTTTGACTTTTGATGCCAAAGTAGGGATCATTTGCTGACAGCCAAATTTCTACTTTGGAAAGTCCTAAGTCCACAGTATCCTGTCGTGGAAGGGTTTCGTGAATGTTGTGTTAATTTAATGCAGGTGAAGAGTCTTGTCAGCTTCCATGTGAAGTATGATCAAGTTCCCACCAATATAAACAGCCTCAGTCTCAGTGATAATCATGACAGAGAGCAGACTCATTGTGGTTTCCAAACTGTTATTGCTTTCAACTTGAAAGATCTATTGAAACAGAAGTCCTATAAAACTGCTTTTTTGATCACTGACGATAAGTGATTGATTTTATTGAAAACACCAAACACAAAAGGTCATCGTTATACTGCTGCTGATGTCACATGCTGAGTGAAAGGTGCTCAGGGTCCTACACGCTTGGGTAAAATAATATACTGAGTAACAGGAGCTCTGGGTCCTACACGCTTGGGTAAAATAATATACTGAGTGACAGGAGCTCTGGGTCCTACACGTTTGGGTTAAATAATAAACTGAGTGACAGTAACTCTGGGTCCTACACATTTTGGTAAAATAATATACTGAGTGACAGGAGCTCTGGGTCCTACACGCTTGGGTAAAATAATATAGTGAGTGACAGGAGCTCTGGGTCCTACACATGTTTGGGTAAAATAATATACTGAGTGACAGGAGCTCTGGGTCCTACATATTTGGGTAAAATAATATACTGAGTGACAGTAACTCTGGGTCCTACACATGTTTGGGTAAAATAATATACTGAGTGACAGGAGCTCTGGGTCCTACATATTTGGGTAAAATAATATACTGAGTGACAGTAGCTCTGGGTCCTACATGTTTGGGTAAAATAATATACTGAGTGACAGGAGCTCTGGGTCCTACACGCTTGGGTAAAAAATATGCTGAGTGACAGGAGCTCTGGGTCCTACATGCTTGGGTAAAATAATATACTGAGTGACAGGAGCTCTGGGTCCTACACATTTTGGTAAAATAATATACTGAGTGACAGGAGCTCTGGGTCCTACACATTTGTGTAAAATAATATACTGAGTCCTTTTATTATGTTTTGAATGAATCAAGTCTTCCGCATGTGTTCGTGTTTTCTTACTAACAATGTTTTTCATTTTTCATTTCTTTAAATTCCACACATGGGCACAATGTGTGAAGCCCATGTCTGGTGTCCCCCACTTCGATATTGCTGTGATATTGCTGGAACATTGCTGGAACATTGCTAAAACCATACTCATGCTCATAAGAACATATGCCTACTGTTTTCTTTGTAGTTTTAGTCATTTAAAAAAAATTGTGAACCCACTCACTCACTCTATATAGAGATTAAAATAAGTGGGCCTACATTTCTGTTTTCACCTTGATGTATACTACCCGTGAAGATCCGGGTTAGAATTGATCTTCAGTTACTCAAGCATGTCGTAAGAGGCGACTTATGGGATCGGGTGGTCATGCTCTCTGACTTGCATGACACATGTCATCGTATGACAATTGCGTAGATCGATGCTCATGCTCTTAATCACTGAATTGTCTAGTCCAGACTCGATTTTTACAGACCGCCCATTAATAGCTGAAATATTGCTGAGTTCGGCGTTAAACAACCAACCAACCAACAAAATGAGGTGAGTAACGGGATCGGGTGGTTGGTTCACAAACCTGTCACGGTATTGCGTAGATCGATGCTCATGACGTAATTGATCACAGGATTGTCAGGTCCAGACTCAATTATTTACAGATCGTCACCATATATGGCTGAGTGCGGCGTTAAACAACCAACCCACCAACCAACCTTGATGTTGGTGATATCGTATGTAGTAACCGGCCTATGTCTCCAAATGAGGACGATGAAATGGCCTACCTTTCCTGCCTCACATTCAACATCAGACGATACTTAGTGATTCAGTAATTCGAGTAAAATATGGCCACATCCGATACCCTCTGAATACCAGCTGCTATTCATATAGATTGAAATGACTCGCTAGACTGTATAGCTTTCATGATGATTCGAGTGTCTTTTGCTTTCTCTGCGCAATGCTTTTTCTCAGGTACGAAACTAATCAGCATACCTCCAGTCTGTATTTAGAGTTAGCTCCCTTAGAATCTCGAACACCTGATAATGCTGTTTATCCAGCCTCATGTAAGAATGTCGAGTTTTAATTGGTTCACGTGACTCTGATAAAATACCATGTACACCCGTCACGATCCGCGAGCAGGGAGTACTAAAGTCATATATCCCGCCACACCTCGGTGACCACGCGAAGTGAGAAAAGCGTGCATCGCCAAGCCTTTAGTGAAGAAGAAGAAGAAGAAGAAGAAGAAGAAGAAGAAGAAGAAGAAGAAGAAGAAGAAGAAGAAGAAGAAGAAAATATTTTTATTTGTGTGTCAGATGTTATATATAAAACATACATAAACTTTAAAACATTCAATAGAATATAACATCCGACCATATGGCCTATGAGACACAAGGCACTATATTATATCTAAAACAGATAGTAGTAAATAAAATTAGTAACGTGCGCTGCATTGAGGTCAATCGACCAGCTGGTGTCAACATGGCAGCAAGGAAACGTTTTGCCACAACAACTGAGAATGAAATTGATGCGTATTGTTTTCTTTTGATTTAGTAAAAACATTCGGCTAGATAAATGCGTTATCACATGGTGTCGAGGTAAATACGGGGCTTTATCAGTCCCGAGTAAGGTTGTATTCCCCGAGCCGGAGACTTATATTCGCCCTCCCGTTTAGCGTCTGATCAGTACATTTATACTTCACCAGCCTCTACTTGTTAAGATGGTTTTGTATTTCAATATGATTATGTGAATATAAAACCCAACATATGTGTGTTTCGTCAGAAAGATGAATACGGAGTACTGTGTTCAGGTTACGATTTCACAGATAAACATGTTGTACGTTGTGCTTGATCTTGTCGCGTGTTATTAATACAATGAACCTTTCAATTTGAAATATTCGCGGCCACGTGTTGCCTGTAGAGCAGTCACGGGCTGACAGCTCACAATGGCCGCTACTCGAGGGTACGACAGGCTATTATGATGAATGTGCATGGCATATATAATATCAGATCTCATGTCAAATGTTTTGTAGTTCTCGGTGACAATAGCATTCAATAATGTTGATTTAATCATTTCCGTAACTTTATAATCATCCCGCATCCGTTTTCCTGATATGTATAAGGTGCGGTGTGGTAGCGAAGGGGTTCAAGTGTTCGCTCGTCACGCATTCAGTGTTCTACAGTATATACACCGTAGCATTGTACGATTTCAACTACAGCATAAACATGTATTTAACAATTTATGCAAAGTAATACTGCACATTACGCTTCGAGCTCGTGTTGTTTCAGGCTGAGTGCTTTAGAAATGGGACTTTCTGGGTTGAAGCGTGCAAATTGGTAAAACAAAAGGGGACCGTCTCACAAGCATGCATGAATGCACGCGTTTTGAGGTTTAAGTGAGCGATGTCTCTTCAATTTTAACCACTGGTTAAGTGAACGACATTTCTGTCCAGCATGAAAGAGATGGCCAGAGACAACGCCACTCTCATGCCACAGATGTTCAAAGGAGGAACTGGAAGCTATACTACAAACAAAAAATATGGGAACACCCTAAAATTTGATAGTCATATATAAACTGAAACGTGGTGAAGTCATTTACACTCTAAGGTAAATGCAACTTTTTGTGTGCTTAATGGGCACGACATGTTGGAACACGCAGTGAAGCAACTGATTCAATATTCGTTGAGTTTGAGTGAAATGAAACATTGTTAAAAACAGCGAAAAACAAGCTTGCTGAAACACACCAGCACCATGTTTGATCCAAACCCCCAACACAACAGCCTAGTGCATGTGCAGCTTGTGGCAACGTTTCGTTTAAAAGAAGCCACAGACAGTATTAAAGCCTCACATCTTCTTTACCATGCCACAGCGCAAACCGTTAAGCGCCCGCAACAGAAGCAGGACCATTGCATGGTTACATGATGGCGAATCCATAAGAAGTGTTGCTCTCCGTCTTCAGTTGTCTCCCTCCGTCATTCACAGACTGAGGGACACGTTCCAGGCCACTGGTAGAGTAAAGGACATACCCAGAAAAGCATCAAGGGCAGATGACCGATATGTTGTGGTGCAAGCCCTTCGGAACCGATTCATAACTGCCTGTGCCCAGTTGCCACAAGCTGCATGGGAGTCTGTCTACCACATGCACTAGGCTGTTGTGTTTGGGCGTTTGAATCAAACATGGTGCTGGTGTGTTTCAGCAAGCTTGTTTTTCGCTGTTTTCAACAATGTTTCATTTCACTCAAACTCAACGAATATTGAATCAGTTGCTTCACTACATCTTCCAACCTGTCGTTTAAAGTACCCATTACGCACACAAAAAGTTGCATTTACCTTAGAGTATAAACGACCTCACCACGTTTCAGTTAATATACGACTGTCAGATTTTAGGGTGTTCCCGTACTTTTTGTTTGTAGTATATTATATGGTCTCAGCTGGAAGTACATGTATCTATACTGAGTCAAAAAAGAAACTTCACAAAATGTAATTTGAAAAATAATGAATACTTTTTCTCTGATGATGCATCTATGTATCCGAAAAGGGATCCCTATCTTTCGACTCTAGAAAAAACGTTAGCAAAACCCACTCAAACCCATCCATTCCTCGTGCAAATGACGTTAGTGCCAAATCAGGTTTTGCACGTACAGTCGATCACGTGATCTTCGCAACGAAGTTTTCTTCATATGCATGTGTTTGCATTGGCCTCAAGAATTGAAAAAAAACCACTTTTAAACCACAGTTCTAACGGTACTTGAAATGCCACGATTGTCAAAGGTGCAACGTGAAGATGCCGTTGGCATGTTGCAAGCGGGAAGATCAGTTATTGTGTCGGAAGAGCAAGTCACCTCCGATGGACCCAGAGAGACTGGAATCGAGTCGTCTTTAGCGATGAATCCAGGCTTACCCTCAGATTCGCGGACGGCAGGCATAGAGTCTGGAGACGACGTCGTGAACGGTATGCCCAATGTTGTGTACAGGAAGTCGACAGATTCGGGGGCGGAAGTTGCATGGTGTGGGGTGCTTTCTGTGGGAACAACCGTTCCCGACTTCTGGTCATCCGTGGAAACCTCACAACTGCTGCTTACCGCGACCAGGTGCTCACCCCTGAACTCGTTCCTTTCATGGCGGCTCATGGCCCAGGTCTACAGTTCCAGCATGATAATGCTCGGCCGCATACCGCGATGTTGACACGAAATTTCATTCAAGACGCTGGAATCAACGTCATGGACTGGCCATCGAGGTCCCCTGACCTTAATCCAATAGAGCACGTTTGGGATGCACTTGGGAGAAGGCTTCGTGGTCTTAGGAACCAACCTCAGAATTTGCAGGAACTTGGCGCTGCCTTGCAAGAGCAATGGCGCAGAATCCCCAACCACGTGTTCACAAGCATCAGGCAGTCGATGAGGAGACGGTGTTTGGCAGTGGTGACTGCGCGGGGCGGCCATACACGATATTGAACTGAGAAATTCCGCATTTTTATTCTTGTGACTTGACATTCTGTATACCCATGTTTTGGAACGGCGGTGTAGCCTAATGGAACTGATTATGGCACTGTCAGTGCATCGAGTACATCACACAGATCTCAGCAATGAAATAATAACAATTTAACCATCTTACCATCTCTTGTTCTTTTAAAGTGCCCTGAAGAAAGAATGTGAAGTTTCTTTTTTTGACTCAGTATATTTTTTTCCAGATTGCTTTAATGTCAGCCTTACCTTCAGTTATTGAACCACTTATGGGTGTATCTGCAGATTGCCCAGCAGAACTATGGCATCATTTCAGGGGCGGTGGGGTAGCCAAGTGATGAAAGCGTTCTCTCGATCACGCTGAAGTTCCGGGTCGATTCCCCACATGGGTACAATGTGTGAAGCCCATATCATGCGTCCATCGCTGTAATATTGCTGGACCGTTGCTAAAGGCGACGTAAAACATTACTCACTCACCCACTGACACGGAGGACCGTCCCTTATCTGACTCTGCAAAATATCATGATATATCTTTGACACGACCCCCATATTTATTGTAATGGCGGCGTGGTCAAACTACCGTGACGTGCCGGGAGTGAGAAATAAACCGGTAATGTACGAGCCTGTAGTCAGTGTTCACAACTACATGCATGTGGTGGCCGCTGTCCACCACGGTTATGCAAGCCAGCGACCTATTTACTGCGGGTTGAAGGTTCACAGTACTCGCCCGATAGTCGGCTTACGAGGGAGCGCAGTGTACAAGCAACGCGAGTAGATAGCGGAGAGACAGACACACGGACAGAGAGAACTACCCTGTCATGCGGGGTGAGTAAATAGGACAATCTTCACTAAGTGCTGCGCTGTTGACGTGAGTTTATGTTTGGTGGTCAAGTCTCAGATGCCTGTGTTCGACAGAGTAGATCGAAAGTCCATTTTCCATGGGGGCAAAGGTTACAGCGGAAGAGGCCAGGGGTATGAGAGGTACCGTATTTCCTCTATTAAGCGCGGGGTCTTTATTAAGCGCCGGGCCTCTAATAACCGCCGGGTATAGACCTTGCATGTTTTCGCAAATGTATTCTCCCCTTGGTCTAAAAATAAATATATTAAGTGATGGGACCGAAGGACTGACTGACTGACTGATTTTGGTTTTACGCCGCTTTTAGCAATATTCCAGCAACATCACGGCGGGGGGACACCAGAAATGGGCTTCACACATTGTACCCATGTGGGAATTCGAACCCGGGTCTTCGGCGTGACGAGCCAACGCTTTAACCATTAGGCTACCGCACCGCCCCGGGACCGAAGGACAGATGGACAGAATGAAGGCTTTGTACTCATCCCCGCTTTTAAAAACACAGGGTATTTTAATAAGCGCCGGGCCTCTAATAGGCGCCGGGTCTGGAGCCAGGCGCTTATTAGAGACAATACGGTAAGTTTATTGCAGAAGTTTCGGGGCCGTTGTCGGCACGGGTACTACAGATGTGTACCCCAGGTATAGAGAAACGTACCCTAGTCAGAGTCTGAATACTGAAAGGTACCGTCGGACGATTCCATTCTGCACTGTGCCGCTTTTGTGATCGGAGCTGTCATACTTTAGATGCATTAGATGCGTTAGATAAGAAACATACCCTATAGCGAGCATACACTATAGCGAGCATACACTGTGGCGAGCATACACTATAGCGAGCATACACTGTAACGAATAATTTGCGATGCACAGTACCACTCCTAATCAGTTGAACGAGAACAAGCTTAAACGTTTTCGGTTTTGGGTTGTGGAATATGGACTCGGCCGTCGTGTATACGTAGGGCACCGGGTACGTTTCTGCATTTTGACTTTGTCTGTATACAGAAACGTACCTGGGGTACATATCTGTAGTATCTGTGCCTTTATCGACGATAATCTATGTATATAAGGAAGTTTATCTATTTATTGTAAATTAATCTTAGTCTCTCATAACCCTTTTTAAGGCGGCTCACTTTTTACACTTTTATACTCTGTACCATATGTATTTTATGTAAAAATTTGAGGTGAGACTTTCATAAATAATCTGTCTGTCTGTCTGTCTGTGTCGACAACGACCCCCTCCAGCGTTACTGATACCTCATAGTATCATGCATCATGAGTATCGAGCTAAGAGGTTATGATACGATGTCGTGAATCAACCAAGTCAGCGAGTGAAGGAACAAGAATAAACAGTAGTTAAACAGAAATATCATATTGCCTAAGTTTACCCTAAAACCGTTGAAGATTATTTATCTTATCTGCCGTCGGTATTGTAAGAATTTTCGTAACATTTATTCTTAAAAAAACCCACTTAGAACTGACGTAGCGAGTGAATGTAAGCAAGGGAGGTAATCCCACAAGTAGTTATTTTTGCGGGAAATATAAGCACACCCTTTAATACGCACCAGCGATAAGACGTTTGCCGTTACGGTTTGCTATGTACAGAGTAACGGCTCGCTACGGCTGAATAACATTGGTTGCGTCACAGTGACAGATACATTTATCACATTTATACGCTACAGTGTAAACATCTGGTCAATCGTAGATAGCCAGTATTTAGATGAAGTATCTGAAAATGAGACTGTGTTGAAAGGAATTGTTTTAAGTGTAAATTTACGAATTTGTGATCTTTGATTCTAAACAGTGTTGATACTTTCGATTTCATTTGTTAATTATTATCTCAATTTGTCGCAAAGAGAAATTCAACTCATATATTTATTTTCAAGAAGCATTACCATAACATGATTGTTAACTGTATTGACCGTAATATGTCAGGAAAGGCTGATATGGCATAATATTCACAACATGTTATAGATTTGATGCTACAGTCGCTAATGATAAGCCATGTGCGTAAATACGGTTTGCTATGGTGTCTGTTACCGGTTGCTAATGGTCACAACAAAAGCCATGTGTGTAAGTACGGTTTGCTATGGTGTCTGTTACCGGTTGCTAATGGTAAGCCATGTACGTAAATACGGTTTGCTATGGTGTTTGTTACCGGTTGCTAATGGTAAGCCATGTGTGTAAGTACGGTTTGCTATGGTGTCTGTTACTGGTTGCTAATGGTAAGCCATGTGTGTAAGTACGGTTTGCTATGGTGTCTGTTACCGGTTGCTAATGGTAAGCCATGTGCGTAAATACGGTTTGCTATGGTGTCTGTTACCGGTTGCTAATGGTCACAACAATAGTGAAATCAACACATTAACAATTACTGCAGTTTGTAAAACTCCATTTCAGAGCTGATTTAACTTCGAAATAGAAAGAAACTGAGATCTGATGCCTGGTTTTATGTCATGAGGAATTGTTTCACAATTATTTGAATTCTAATATTCAAACTTGGGACATCAAGGTTGATACTTGAAGAAGATGGATCATAATCTCCCAGTGTGGAATCTCCCAAACTGAACCTGACAAAAGGTTTTTAATCCAGACATAAATCGGATAAACTGACCATGAAACAGTCTGTAACCTGTTTTCCAAAAAGCAATGACCTCTTTGCTGAACAGCAGATTCATTGTAGTATGATAACATCCATGAAAAAATGGAAGGCGCGGTTTTCTGTTGGGAATGTACTGTCGGCTAACATGTGACAGAAACGTTTCCATTCTAAATATCTACCAACTTCTCTCAAACTATCTACAACTGATGGTAATAATTTCAATATCTTTGTCAATACTCTCATTTTGTGAGTCCGAGGTGTCACTACTAAGTTTGCCACCTTCTCCAAAAGCTTCTCGACTTTCATCATCACTAATTTCTTTACTAGTATAGACCGTTCTTATTTGTGATTCTGTACCACCAGTTGTACTTGTTTCTGGCTGCCCACTGGATCAATCTTAGAATGTCTCACTTTCATATGCATGCAGTGTGATGTGCTCATTATCAGGTGACGGAAATACATTTTATCCGTTATTGCGAACTTTTATGGGCACAATTTGAAAGTTTTGGTCACATATTGCAATTTGCCCGTCAGTGGCGAGTCACTGGCGACAAACATTCTGCTCTAATTTTCGGTTCATTTTCTGGATTGGTGTTACAAAATGTTTGGATAATTTCGTCAAATAGGGCACTTTTTACATCGGAGCCGTGACACCTGTACTTCATGGACCTGGAAGACCAAACCATATCAACAAAAGCAATGCTAGCAAACCGTATCATTGAAAACAAATTGCCACTAGCAAACGTGTCTCTCAACGTGTAGCAAGCCGTAGCCTCTCAAATTAAAAATTCGTCTGTAACTTCACTATTTAATTGAAATTATCCACATCCGATTACACACATACATATGGTAATACTTGTCACCTGTTATAACATTGGTTTGTGAAATGTATGCTGTTATGACAATTAAAACCAGACATTATTTCCATTTGATGCCAAAACATACCAAATAACATCGATTTTTTACACAATTAATGTAACATTTGGTCCGATTATTAGATCAAGTCATTAGATAACTATTATGTTATCAAAATCTGATATATTTGTCCCCAAAAGGCACAACGTTTGACTTTATTTACACAATTTGTGGGGCAAGACCACATGGTAAAAAGTAGTTTCAGCAGTAGCGAGCCGTTACTCTGTACATAGCAAACCATAACGGCCACTAGCAAACGTCTTATCGCTGGTGCGTATTACAGGGTGTGATAAGTAAAGTGTGGTTATTTTTTAAAGTGTGTGACGAATGATTCAACAAGTATATTTCGAGTTAACTCCCCTGTCCCTTCACTCTGTTGAACCTGAAGCTGGCAGGGATAACGGGGTCGAAGAACTATTTGATATGATATGAGTGGCGCTTAAAATGTTGAATGAATTATATTTTACGTGAGAATTTATTAAATATGATGTTGGAATTCTGAGAGCACAACCCAGTGAGGAAATGGGTGTCTACCTTTGATGGTGGCGATATTTTACTTTGACATTACAAACCGAAACAGTCTCATGAACCTATTCAGACAATGACCTACTTTTCAACCGATCCGAAGTTTCTCGTGTGAAAGTAAAAAGAGACACCACAAAAAACTATGGTTTCACTGAATTCCAAGTCCTTGTTTCATAGGAAAATGGTATTTACAAGTTAATTTTAATTTTAAACTCTAATAACATCGTATTTCTATATTTTATTGCAAGGTGAAGGGAGCATGACCTTAACTAAGACGTCACAGACTGTCTCTGTTTGATGAGGTCGTAATATGATTCACAATTCATCTGGCTCACTGGTTACACCTGTTATGTATTCTTTGCGGTTATTCAGTGTAGTTTTGTACCGCACAATGCGATAGATATAATATCAAGTCCGTACCAGATCGCCAAACCATTTTAGCGGCAGAGCCTCGTTTTGAGATTTCCACGATTTCCAGATTTCCGTTTTTTAGAGCACGCTGTACGACAACAGAGCACGTAGTGTTGCAATATATAAGTGGTTAGATGTATCAAATAATCCTGTTTAATATTTATGTATCCAGTTGAAATAATTTGTCTCAAATTTCTGGACTGGTTAGTGTACTTAGTTGCGCAATAGGACGGAACCCAGTCAGCAGGAGACGAGACTGGTGTGTAATCAATGTTTTGACTTGAAACTATTTTTCGAACCGAAGCGAGAGAAGTACGACGCCAACCTTTGTTCGCTTCGCTCGCATATAAGCAGACTTTTTCCTCTGTTGCGCAACCCTATTTGCGCTACGGTTTGCCTGTGGTCTGGTTCAGTGACTATTTACAGGCCGTCATAAAAAAATCTTTAATGTATTATTTTATGGTATGAAACAGTAATTACTTATTTCACTGATTTTAGATTGTCATTTTCCTCAAACGTATTATTAGGGTGATTCCAAAGTACAAGCCCGGTTAACAAAGGAGTGTGTTACGAATCCCATAGTATTGGGTTTTTAAATATCCATAGTATCTAATCATGTATCTTACAGCTGTTAATGCCTCTAAACTATATTTAACCGACTTGTCCACTTTAGCTGTACCAGGATCCGCTGAACATGAATTACACACTCTATTAAAGGTGCGCTTGTACTCTGGTGTCCACCTTTTTAGCAAGCCTTCATATCACCTATTCCATGTTGGCGTTTACTTATGTGTGTACTAATATTTCTTAAAATATACCAGTACCAACAAATTGTACGAATTATCCCAGTCATTGTAGCCACCTTACGGTACACACTGTCATTTTATCACGTAACTCGGCTACCTTGGCGAGTTCGCTATGTAACTACAAGGGTCAGGCTGACTTAACATAAATCACTGGTTCATAAAGATTTATTGATAAAACTGAAAGCGAATGTGGACGACGCCTCGTATTTTGTCGAGTTAATCCTTTGGTGTATCCCACCTCCGTTAAATGTCTTTATTATGCAGCCAATTGGCCAACGTGACTACGACCTGTAATATAACGGGGCAATTTCTCTTTCACAACACATCGTATCCCAAGTAGATCGATGCTCATGTTGTTGATCACTGGATTGTCTGGTCCAGACTCGATTATTCACAGACCGCCGCCATATAGCGGGATATTGCTGAGTGCGGCGTTACACCGAACTTACTCACTCACTCACTCTCCCTGCCCACTGAGGGAGACGAGAAACATCAAAAGCTCAACCGAACTCGGCGAATTCGTGAAATGCGCTTTAAACAGCAAACAAACCAAACCGAAAGTTAGAAACCCTCCAAGGTGGCTATCGGAATCAACAGTTTCTCCCACAGAGTAAGCTGATGTCAGTGGCGACAGCCGTAACATATTTCCAACTGTAAATTAGTAACAAAACTTCTGTGCTTCTCCAAACATTGGCGACAGCTTAGAAACACAAACTATTTTTATAACCTGATTGAATAGTGCTGCGGGAATGATATTGTTATACGAATCACGAGCAACTCAGTCAACTGAATAGCAACCAGTTGCCATGGATGTATTGTGGCTGAGTCAGTTTTGTCAGGAGACACTACAGGAACATATGCAATACGAGTGGTAGGTGAAGAGTTCATAGCCCATGCACGATGGACTGGCTTGTTGTGTTAGCAGTTCATGACAGTTCGACATGATCCATCCCGAAGTCCACATACTTCTGACAACGAGGCTGGAGTTCTTGGTGAGTGGTGAGTGTATAACCTGTGGTGAGTGTACAACCCGTGGTGAGTGTACAACCTGCGGTGAGTGTATAACCTGTGGTGAGTGTATAACCTGTGGTGAGTGTACAACCTGTTGTGAGTGTATAACCTGTGGAGAGTGTACAACCTGTGGTGAGTGTATAACCTGTGGTGAGTGTACAACATGTTGTGAGTGTATAACCTGTGGTGAATGTAGAACCTGTGGTGAGTGTACAACCTGCGGTGAGTGTATAACCTGTGGTGAGTGTATAACCTGTGGTGAGTGTATAACCTGTGGTGAGTGTACAACCTGTTGTGAGTGTATAACCTGTGGAGAGTGTACAACCTGTGGTGAGTGTATAACCTGTGGTGAATGTAGAACCTGTGGTGAGTGTACAACCTGTGGTGAATGTATAAACTGTGGTGAGTGTACAACCTGTGGTGAATGTATACACTGTAGTGAGTGTAAGACCAGTGGTGAGTGTACAACCTGTGGTGAGTGTTCAACCAGTGGTGAATGTATAAACTGTGGTGAATGTATAAACTGTGGTGAGTGTACAACCTGTGGTGAATGTATAAACTGTAGTGAGTGTAAGACCAGTGGTGAGTGTATAACCTGTGGTGAGTGTACAACCTGTGGTGAATGTATAAACTGTGGTGAATGTATAAACTGTGGTGAGTGTACAACCTGTGGTGAGTGTATAACCTGTGGTGAGTGTATAACCTGTGGTGAATGTATAAACTGTGGTGAATGTATAACCTGTGGTGAGTGTATAACCTGTGGTGAATGTATAACCTGTGGTGAGTGTACAACCTGTGGTGAATGTATAAACTGTGGTGAGTGTACAACCTGTGGTGAGTGTATAACCTGTGGTGAGTGTATAACCTGTGGTGAATGTATAAACTGTAGTGAGTGTAAGACCAGTGGTGAGTGTTCAACCAGTGGTGAATATATAACCTGTGGTGAGTGTATAACCTGTGGTGAGTGTATAACCTGTGTTGAATGTATAAACTGTGGTGAATGTATAACCTGTGGTGAGTGTACAACCTGTGGTGAATGCATAAACTGTGGTGAGTGTACAACCTGTGGTGAATGTATAAACTGTAGTGAGTGTAAGACCAGTGGTGAGTTTTCAACCAGTGGTGAGTTTTCAACCAGTGGTGAGCGTTTAACCTGTGGTGAGTGTTCAACCAGTGGTGAATGTATAACCTGTGGTGATTTTACAACCTGTGGTGAGTGTACAACGCGTGGTGAGTGTATAAACTGTGGTGAGTGTTCAACCTGTGGTGAATGTATAACCTGTGGGGAGTGTATAACCTCTGGTGAATGTATAACCTGTGGTGAGTGTATAACCTATGGTGAATGTATAAACTGTGGTGAATGTAAGACCAGTGGTGAGTGTATAACCTGTGGGGAGTGTATGACCTCTGGTGAGTGTACAACCTGTGGAGAGTGTACAACCTGTTGTGAGTGTATAACCTGTGGTAAATGTATAACATGTTGTGAGTGTACAACCTGTGGTAAATGTATAACATGTTGTGAGTATACAACCTGTGGTAAATGTATAAACTATGGTGAGTGTTCAACCAGTGGTGAGTGTATAACCTGTGGTGAGTGTACAACCTGTGTTGAGTGTATAACCTTTTGTGAGTGTACAACCTGTGGTGAGTGTACAACCTGTGGTGAATGTACAACCTGTGGTGAATGTATAAACTGTGGTGAATGTAAGACCAGTGGTGAGTGTATAACCTGTTGTGAACGTATAACCTGTGGTGAGTGTATAACCTGTGGTGAATGTATAACCTGTGGTGAATGTATAAACTGTGGAGAGTGTATAAACTGTGGTGAGTGTACAACCTGTGGTGAGTGAGTGTATAACCTGTGGTGAATGTATAACCTGTGGTGAATGTATAAACAGTGGTGAGTGTATAAACTGTGGTGAGTGTACAACCTGTGGTGAGTGTACAACCTGTGGTTAATGTATAAACTGTGGTGAGTGTCAGACCAGGGGTGAGTGTACAACCTGCTGTGAGTGTACAACCTGTGGTGAATTTATAAACTGTGGTGAGTGTAAGACCAGTGGTGAGTGTACAACCTGTAGTGAGTGTTCAACCTGTGGTGAGTGTACAACCGGTGGTGACTGTTTAACCTGTGGTGAATTTATAAACTGTGGTGAGTGTAAGACCAGTGGTGAGTGTACAATCTGTAGTGAGTGTATTACATGTTATGAGTGTACAACCTGTGGTGAGTGTACAACCTGTGGTGATGATGACCAGCAAACAGAGATGAGGAGGGGATGGTCAAATTCAACACGCTGATGATGTCCATGTTGTTCATGCTGCTTCCTGCTGCTTCATGGCCTGAACACAAATATTAACAATCAACGCAGCAAGAAATCACTGGATTGTGTCGTCCAGACTCGACTCTCTACAGACCACGTCGTATAGTTGAAATACTGCTGAATGCGACGACAAGCAAACACATACCTATAATTTAGTCAGAATTGTAGAATCGACTCTGATTTCAGCAGAGATTTCTTACTGGTGTGGGCAAGGTTTTGTGGCTTTGATCAACTGCAGGGCAAAAGGAAGTGTTCATCCATGTTTCATGGCGACCAAATATGGAACCAAAGAGAAATGGCTATGCTGATGTATGTCATGTAGATATCATAGGTGCGCTTTGGACCTGAGTGTTTCGGCGGCTGGTGTCAGCTTCGTTACGTTTTGCTGATATTTGTCAAATTATTAATCAAATCCAATTTTCAAGTGTTTGCTCACACATAATCTGGAACATTATCTCAGATGAAAATCAAACTTCGAGTATTCCACCACATTCACCTTTCAGTTTACTTGTGTAACAGTTGCTACTAACCACTGCTTCACCTTTCCAGGTTGCAGACAACCCATCGTGATACACCTGGTACAAACCACTTACTGTGGAGTAAAGCAAATGAAAACTCACCCTCTTATATGAAACGGCAAACGAACACAAACGCCTGCCCATCGTCTGTGCATTGAGAGGCGGTTTCCTCAGGCGTTATGGCGTTTCAAGAAGATTCGGACACAACACCCATTCTTTCAAAAAGTCCAGATGTCGAAAGGCAGACGACAATTAAGACAGTCCGACAGAACCTGACCGCGCTTTGTGTCATCTGGGTGTTCACCCTCACAGCTTTCTCAGGCCTACAGAACCTTGAAGCAAGCCTTAACCTTGACCTTGGGATCTACTCTCTAGCCGCCCTTACCGGAAGTGGACTCATCACCTCTCTAATAGCACCCGCTATCATCAGATTCACTGGATGCAAAGGAGCTTTAGTTCTGTCCTGGATAAGTTTCGGTGTGTTTGTTGGGTCCAACTATTACCCGAAGACATATACCTTGATTCCAGGCTCAGTAATTATTGGACTAGGTACAGGACTTCTTTGGACTGCTCAAGGTGTATATGTGACTACTTCCGCTGTTGATTATTCCAAAGTTACAAAAGAAAACTTGGATTCTGTGGTCAGTAGATTTTTCGGAATATTTTGCATGGCGTTTCAGAGCACTCAAATATGGGGCAACCTCATCAGTTCTCTTGTTTTCAACAATGTTAGCAATAACATCACCATCGATGATGTTACTCATTGTGGAGCAAAAGACTGTCCTGGAAATCTCCCGCCATTTTCAAATGAGACGTCAGCGGAATCAAGGAAACCAGACGACACGACAGTGTATGTGTTACTGACGATCTATCTCGGTTGTGTTGTGGTTGGGCTTATCATTACTGTATTATTCCTGAAGCCTATCACTCCCCGAGGATCTGAGAATGACATGGGCGTCGTGGCACTTCTGTCGTCAACGTTGAAGCTTCTTGTGACGGACATCAACATGGCGTTACTGGCGCCACTCTGTCTATACACAGGCATGGAACAAGTGTATCTGTTCGCTGAATATACAAAGGTGAGTGCAGAGGAATCACAGATCTTAACTATTGATCTTAGCCATAGGTCTTTGCTAGTGAATTTAACTAGAGATCTTAGCTTCATACTTTGAAGATATTGATCTTCGCTATGTCTTTACTGTTTATCGCAGCGATTGACCTTCAATCTGAACTATTGATTCTAACTATATGTCTTCAATGTTGATCTTAACAATCAATTAAATTATTGATCTTAACTAGTTATCCTATCTATAGGTCTTTACTATTGTTCTTAACAATCGATTTTAAGTAATGATCTTCAGTATAGATCTTCACTATTGATCTTATCCATTGATCTAAACCATAAAAACACTTGTTTTGACACAATATATTCAGGTTGAGATAGATTGGGAAGTAAATCGTGTACCAGGAAAACGAGAAAAGAAGGAACCTGCAACAGAAACACCAGTATTGACTTGTATGAGTTACTCAAATATCTTGTTTGATTTACAAACATTTGCACTGCTGGAACGAGTTTGGGTAATGGATAAACATTCGCTTCTGTTTAACTTTTAATTTAATCTTATTTAACTAAGTTGTTCATGGCGTTATGTAAACGTTTTCGGGACATTATGAACATATATGTTCTTTTGTGGGAACATACCTCGCATGGATAGTGAAACTGGCATATGTATCATGGCTCCGTCACACTCCCCCGTCGTGTTCAACGTTTCAGTGAGTGAGTGAGTTAGTTTTACGCCGCACTCAACAATATACCAGCTATATGGCGGCGGTCTGTAAGTAATCGAGTCTGGACTAGACAATCCAGTGATCAACAACATGAGCATCGATCTGCGCAATTGGGAACTGATGACGTGTCAACCAAGTCAGCAAGTCTGACCACACGATCCCGTTAGTCGCCTCTTACGACAAGCATGGGTTACTGAAGATCAATATTCTAACCCGGACCTTCACGGGTTCAACTGCAATACCGTGATCAAATATTTCCACTTTGCATTGAATGGAGGCAGTGCGTTATTCTTCTTTGCAATAATTTCTTCAACATTAAAAACATCCTTGACAGTATTTCTGAAACCTGATATCATATTTTGTTTGATGCTTGTGATATGGATATATTTTAATACAAACGGTAGGATTATCTTTTTTACACCATTTTTACAATCGATATGTCTGTGCTCTGGACTGAAAATGGTGTGATCTCTCTAGAATTCCGGGTTCTAGATACCTATCCTGGTCGTAAGAGACGACTGTGTGAATCGAATTATCCGGCATGTAGATTGATGGCGTGTCATGGCAACCTAACTGCATCGCACGGTGCTCTTTGTAATAATCACTTGATTGTCTGGTCTAGACGAAATGCCATACACTTCATTATCGAGGATGTTTTATCCCTCGGTACGCGTTATTTGTGATGACCATGGCGTAAACAAGGTCAAGGAATAGGCATATGAATGGTGTTTTACGCCGCACTACATGACTACATGTGCAGGAGGGGCGGTGGGGTAGCCTAGTGAGTAAAGCGTTGGCTCGTCAAGCCGAAGACCCGGGTTCGAATCCCCACATGGGTACATTGTGTGAAGCCCATTTCTGGTGTCCCCCGCCGTGATGTTGCTGGAATATTGCTAAAAGCGGCGTAAAACCAAACTCAGTCAGTCAGTCGTGTGCAGGAGGTTGTGACGCTTGATGGTCTGTGTGCTTTATCCCTCACTCTGCAAAGATCTAGCTTGTATCGGTACGTCTTTAAATGACTGATTCAAAAAGAAAATAGGCCCTTATTACAATCATGCTTCAGAAAACCATGCACGTCGACAATGTGGATCGGGTGGGCAGGTTCGCTGACTTAATTGATGCCTATCATCGTATCCCAATTGCGTGGATCGATGCTCATGATGTTAATCACTGGATTGTCTGGCCCAGACACGATTATTTACAGACCGCCATACGGCTGTAGGGGCGGTGGGGTAGCCTAGTGGTTAAAGCGTCCGCTCATCACGTCGAAGACCCGGGTTCGATTCCCCACGTGATCACAATGTGTGCAGCCCACTTCTTGTCCCCTGCCGTGATATTGCTGGAATTTTTATAAAAGCCGCGTAAAATCATCCTCAGTCGCTCACACCCTCGTACAGCTGTATAAGTGCTGAATGTGGCGTTCAACAAATAAACAAACAAACAAACAAACCACCAATATAGAAAAGGAGATCACGTGACCTAGTTAATTGAGGGTGGCAAAAGAGATGCGCTCATCTTAAAAGACTCACCTTTGTTTCAGTCGTTCGTGACGTGTGCCCTTGGCATCAACTGGGTCGGGTATACGATGATCTGCTTCGGGGTCTGTAACACCATCGGCTCCCCCGTCGTGGGCTGGCTGTGTCGTTACGTCGGCCGCAATGTCCTCTTCATCTTTGCTGCTGTGGTGAACATCGCCGTCATTGTGACCATGCTGCTCTGGCATCCGTCGCCTAGCAACAAGGTGGTGTTCTTCGTGGTTCCTGGTCTATGGGGAATTGCTGACGCTGTTTGGCAAACACAGAGTGCAGGTGATTGTTTCGGTTTTCTGATGTCTATATTTATTATTTGTCCTGCTGATACCAACCAGTTTTACAAGGGCTGTACTAAATGATTAAAGTGTGCATCCACGAGAAAGGGTGGGTGAGTTTGGGACTGACTGACTGACTGACTGAATTTGGTTTTACGCCGCTTTTAGCAATTTTCCAGCAACATCACGGCGGGGGACACCAGAAATGGGCTTCACAAATTGTACCCATGTGGGGATTCGAACCCGGTTCTTCGGCGTGACCAGCCAACGCTTTAACCACTGGGCTACCCCACCGCCCCCGGGTGAGTTTGGATGTGTGAGTGAGAGAGTGTGTGTGGTTGCACGCCGCTTTGAGCAATATTCCTGCAACCTCACCACGGGGGGACAATAGATATGGACTTCACATATTGTACCCATGTGGGGAATCGAACCCGGGTGTACAGCGTGACGAGCGGACGCTTTAACCATTAGGCTACCCCACTCCCCGAGTTTAGATGATCTATGCCGGCTTTCAACACCACTTCAGTTATACCACGGGGTTTTGGCGTAATGGGATAAGCACGAAATGTGGGGTATTGAGGATCATTGTGGGACAACATGAGATTCTAGCTCAGGATCACTGAATCCTGGCGCACATAAGGGACGTCACTGCGCACAGCGACTTGTAACGTGGTAGACTGTGTCATCCTGTAGGAAGATGGCGGAATCGTTTCCTTATTTATAAATTGTATTTCTGTTTTAAAGGGCATTCAGAATAACGTGGAAAAAACAAGATGTATGTATGACGTAAAGTATAGTAACCCTGACCTTGAAGTATTGTGACGCTGACCTTGAAGTATTGTATTCCTGTCCGTGAAGTACATGTATTGTAATCTTGGTCGTGAAGTATCGTAACCTTGACCGTGAAGTATTGTAACCTTGACCGTGAAGTATTGACTCAATCCGAGAGTGGTGGATCTCTGTACAAACTGTTCACACTATGCTACTCAGATGTTTTGACGTGACTGTCGATAATATGTCATGCTATCTTACACTTTAGTTTAATGGTATATGGTCACATGCAAACTCTCCTCTCTTTACAGCCCTCATGGGAGTTGTGTTCACGCACAAACAAGGGCCCGCCTTCGGCAATCTCAGGACGTTGCAAGCGATGGGCTTCACTATAGCGTATATCTATAGCAACCAGCTATGTCAGTATGTAAAACTCTACCTGCTTGGCGGGTTCCTCATTGTTTCCATGGCTTTGGTTGGTATAGTACACTTCAGACGAAACAGCAGTCGGAAATACACGGACCTTTAGCTGTGACTTAGAGACAGTATCAATATCATTCGGATGCAAGCAGTTAAGTCCATTCGTGACCAACTCGTGTTATTCCGGGACAAACCGAATAGCGTCTTCTTGGAGGTTACGGAAAGAGGGCGAGTGGCGACGAATGCGCGTGTTAGTCCAAGGGAGACAATTCAATGTGACTTTTCTCTTGTGAACCATGAAGAGAAGAACACAGACGGCGAGGATTCAGCAATTTTCGTTTCTCGTTGACATGTGTTTATAATTAGCGTTAATGCTGGCAAGGAACTTAACATGCAGCAATCAGAATAGTTTTGTAGAACCCTGTGAACTTCACTCCCGTTACAGTGAATACACCTTGAAATGATTAGACATCTGCTCCTCACGTAACAAAAACAAAAAGCACCTAACCTTTGAGTCCAATATAAACTTTATTCATAAATCCGACAAGCGTGTTTACGTAGACATGCGTTAACGAACTCGTTATCAGAACATAAGTCAATACCGGCAGTACTGGCATCTGGGTTAGAGACAATTGGCAACAAACTCTAATTTGTACAACCCAAACCGAATTTAGGTTCCCCTGAAACATTGCCAATTGTTTGGTTGGTCGATGATGAGAAATCAGTTTTTCATTTGTTACGTTCCTACATACGCACGTGTTTTATGCTCTCTGCGGACCAGGAGATCTGTGATTATTCCCGAAGTAAACACCTGCTGTCATGGCATGGTTTCTTTCATCATTTCATAGAATTGTTCGACTGTATTGTGCCTTTTACGCCGAAAGTCTGTCTGTCCAACAATTGGAGCGAGTGAGTTAGTGAGTATGGTTTTACGCGGCTTTTAGCAATATTCCAGCAACATCATGGCGGGGGACACCAGAAATGGGCTTCACATATTGTACCCATGTGGAAAATCGAATCCGGGCCTTCGGCGTGACGAGCGAACGCTTTAACCACTAGGCTAACCCACCGCCCCTCAACAATTGGAAGCTACACTGCACACACGAACTGTTTTGTTGCACAATTGATACTGGACGGAAAAACGACGGAAGATCAATTAAATTTGAATAGGCCTAAATTTAGTGAGCGCCCAGAAAGTGCCCGGAAAGGCGCCAAGGTTTAATGTGTAAAATGGACTTGAATGCGATGCTTTCGTGCTACGTCTTGTACAAATACTAACACATAACACCAGGTCCCTGGTCCACGGGTCCGTGTGTAGCAATCGGCTAAAATGAGCTTGTCCGATGTTTTACACGACACCAACTTGACTACTTTAGAGGACTTCCTAAAACCCGGGGCCAAGAAAAGTCGGACCGGGCCGGGCCAGCGGGTAATAGTAAAATGGATTGAATATTAAAATGAAACGTGAGCATCTGGGCAGATTCACCTCCAACTTTCTCAAACGTATAGCTTAGCAGAAGGAATTAAGATTGAACAAAACTGTATATTTCACAATGTAATAAAGTGATACCTATGACTACCTACCAAGTTCCTCAGGTACTTCGTGCTGTGTTTTCTATGCTATGTCTGTATATGGTAAGGTTTCTTACTGCCCTAAGCTTATGAGATGTGACGTCCAAGAGGTGACTGGTTTATGGGTTCCCTATTTAACATGTATTGCTTCCTGTTCTAGTCAAGACATGACATGTTTATATGTAGGGTAAGGCTCTTCCAGCAGCATTCCCAACAACAGAACACCATCTTACATCCATGAACACCAGTCGAATAGGTGCCACTCTTTACACAGACAGATACAAAACGCACAGGTTTTGACACCCTCACATCACAATCCTTGAGGCGAACTAAATCATACAGATTCCAAGACAATGGTGCTCCAGAGTTCACAGGACACTGTCAAATACCGAACACTACAAACGAACTAGTTCCAGTCTAAAACACACCACATATAACCTAACGAAAGGACAAATAACACCAACCAAACCATCTCGTGATACCGCTCCTTCCGACCGCTTCTTTTCTAAATTAAACATTCATACAATACTAAATATCCAACCCGAACTCTACCTTCAGGCTGCTCTCTTTTCGTCTAAAATCACCCACAGGTTTTGGCACCCTCACATCACAATCTTTGAGGCGAACTAAATCATACAGATTCCCCTTTTTTGAACGAACACTGAAAGGCTGACGGGTCCGCATCATGTCGGAAAGCGCACGTAAAATATCCAGGTCATGGTGATGATATCATCATCAATGGCAGCAACAGCAATTCAAACATACTCAATATACAGATCAATGTGCTTTGACAGAAATACCCATGTAACCTGTTTCACTACAAAACTGACGTACCCGCACATTCGCAATAGAAGCATGTTCTTCGACAGTAGCTCGATAAGAGTAACACGTTTCGCAGAGCATTTTGGAAATTCTCAATCGGATTTGTACAAGGTGTGCTTAGACCTATGTGTTAGATTATGTACGATATGGTTCAGGTTCTTCAAATGAACGTGAAGGGGGGATATATAATTTAAACTTCTTAACATTTGTTAAATGGTCAAACAAAGTAATATACATCTTCCTCAATCATATGTGTTGTTATTGTCATCGAAAAAGCACCAAACAACTGCTCTAAGGCCACAATTTGTGCGAATGTATATCTTATTCCCAGCTCGGGCTGTGATTGATTTAAACATATTTTATTCACAAATGTGAAAGGGATTGGGGACAAGTAATCCAACTTAAAATACCCGCTCCCTAATATTTACATACATACATTTTCAATTATATACATATTAGGAAAGAATAGAGAGAAGAGATAGGAAAGTTAAGTAGAGGCAGGGATACAACTCATGTGATCACACAAAACGTTTCGATTGATGAATAAAAGTTTGCACACCTTTAAAAACGTATTCATTCTGTTGAATGGTCATATCAGGACTTAAACGGACTGTGACGTCACAGTGGCGAGACGTTAGCCATTTTCCTTTGTTTAAAGTGCATTCATCTACATAACAATGGAATGATTTCCCCGTTTATCTCGGCGTGTAATAGACATAATGGGATAATGTGTTCGCGGAGATGTCCCGATCCATCCGAAAATGTGCCAAGTGTCATATTCTTCAGATATCCAAGCCAATTCAGCTGGGATGACATTTCAGACTCAGCAAAGTCTTGTGTTCCTTGACTTTTGAGAACCTAACTACCTAAACATAGTTGAGAAAATGCGAGAGCAAAACTGAAGAAAGATGAAAGAAGAAATTTGACGAACATGACATGCCGACGGGAAAGATTCTCTGATTATAAATATACATGTAAGGTGAACTTCTCGACAATATCTTGGAAGTATTTGGTAAACTTGAGAATCTTACGTCTGCCCAGTATCTATAAACCATTAAATCAATTCATTTCTTATAGAGATATTAATGTATAAACAACAAATACCAAGCTGAAACCAAGGACGGTATTCCTTCCGCTCTAAATGGTATTGAAAAGAATCATATGGATATTTATTTGATCGCTGTATAGGAAGAAGATGTAGCGAAACGTATTCTTAGTTCTGTGATAATTCTGTTTGATCGTCGTACATTTAATGAACTGTTTGACAAGAAATTGATAAAATGTATTTTGGTATGCAACAATTAGTCATTTGTCAACGTATGAGTCGATCTTTGCTACCAGTTAAGGAAGTAAACAACGCTTTAAGTATGATTCAAAAACGTCTCAATACAGAATATCGTTCCACGTTGCTCATGAGGACCCAGGCTATTACTATGGGGAATGCACAGTTCACTGTTCACTGTTCACTGTTCACTGTTCCAGGACTGGAGATTCAATTTTAAGTTCGCTTATTCCTCCCACCAGATTCATGCGACTCTCCTCGATGTATATCAAATTTATTCAACTGGCTTACCAATTAATCAGTGAAGTTCACACGTCACTCGGGGTATGAAGTTCGGATTATTTGAGAGTTGCGGAGGTGAAAGACCAATAGATTGAATTCTTAAAGGGCTTCTAAAACATGTTATGGTGAACACGAAAACAACGTCAAATATGTTTATAGCCCCAAACCAAAAACGGTGTTTACATGCGCACTTAGTTGGTTTACTCAAGAAGCACCAGAGATAAAATCTTTGGGTAATGTTAAATTCAGAATAAATGGGCTGCGTTCGATGGATCCCGAACTCGAACCATGCATTATTCTCCTCAGTGGCATAATAAAATATTATATTAACATCATAGGGTCCAGTCTGTCAGATTTGTATATGTACAATTTCATGACATAGACATGATAATTCATAATTGTCAACGGCTTCTAAATGTACACACCTAATCTTTTACTCTTGTCAGACATTTTTAATTCTTCCACAATAAAACCCTCTGAGCTTTTTGCAACCTCTTCTAGATAATTATGCTTTTAAAATTCTATATCTATTACTTGATGATGAAGTGTTTGATCACAACCGTAAAAGGACAAAGAATTTCAATTTGATATACGGAACAGAACAGAACAGAATTTTATTTCAGTAACAGGCCACCGGCCCAAAATACATGTACATAAATGGATGATAAGTAGGGCACATATATATTTCGTTTAGATTTGTGTTTCTTGTCAACAAAGTATAAAAATAGACATACATCCTTGATAATATTAACATTTTTACTCTGTAATATTGATATAAAATTAATAATTGATGGACATTTACTAAAATATTTTGATATGTACTTATTTCTGATATGAGAATATGCATCACAGATATAAAACACATGCCATTCAACTTCAACAACGAAGATACCATTTAATTTACAAAACAGGCAATGCCTTTCATTATATGCAACATCAGTGTATCTGCCCGTTTCAACTGCTAGTTTAAAATTACAGCACCGAAATCGGGCATATATAGTTTTTAAATATTGAGGGATATCATTATTTATCAAGTAGCTCTCAACATTTAACAAAGATTTGAATGGATAGAAAGTAAAGACATTTACAGTTACTGTCCAAAGATGAATGCCAAGATTGAAATAAATTATCATGTAGTCTCTGTTTAAATGATTCCATAAATATTTTGTGATCACCAATTTCCTGACTTATCCAAACAAATCCAAAACCAAATTGAAAAAGAATATTTTTAATTCTAGGTGCCCATGAATTTCGTCCTACCCTGTCTAAAGATAATAGCATAAAATAACATTGTTTTGGTAATCTATAGTCAGGCATGTTTAGAAGTCTGCACCAGTATTTCACTGCATTGGTTGTATAAGTAAACTGTAAAGGCACTCTTCCACATTCACCCAAGACCATATTGTTACAGGTGGATTTTCCAAGTTTCAAGACATATTTACAGAATTTAATATGGACAGATTCAATAGTATTACAGTAGGATGTGCCCCAGATTTCAGACCCATAACAGAGAATGGGTGATATCATACAATCAAAGATTTTAAATAAATCTGTACAATTAATGCTGCGAAGTTTCCTTTGGAAATTTTTAACAGAGAATATTGCCTTACTAGCTTGTGATGCAAGGCAAGATGCAGCTTTACTCCAGGATAATTTAGGAGTGAACATAATTCCAAGGTACTTGTAAAAGGATACAGTTTCAATAACATTGCCATTATAAAACCAATTTTCATATGAGCGCAAGGGACCACCATTTCTAAAAACAATAATCTTAGTTTTCTTTAGATTCACGCTCATACCAGTTTGCTCACAAAATTTACCAAGTACATTGATCTTTTTTTGCAGCTGTGCACAGGTGTCAGCT